GTAGACTTCTTCCTATTTAATGGAACAGCTTTTTTCAGACTCACCAGAAGACCTTATTTTCCTGACAGATATTATTTGTGTCTATGTACAGGAAAAAACAAGGCAGAAACATCTGCTCTCACAAATGAATGTGATAAATTGCACAGCCATCCAAAGGCTTTTCTCATGTTTTTAGTCACATCTCATTTGGTTTTAGTCACATCTCAACTCCTGCCCTGCACACATTCACCTCTCTGCCCACAGGGATAAGGAGAGGAGAGGCAGATGGCCTGCCACAGTGCAGTTGTCTTCATGACTCTTCTCTCTTTGCTGAGACAGTCCAGGTTGTTAGAAAACAGGAAAAAGGCCTCTGGTGCCTGCCAGGTTTGTGTTACAGGTGCGTGGGAAGGCAAACCAAAGCTGTCACTCCAGAGCTCCCTACAACCCTCCCACATGGGAGCTGTGGGGCTGTAGTTCGTATCTAAGCTGTGTTGAGTTCCTGTGCTGGGCAGGGACATGAGCCATAGTAACCAAGTTGTCGCCCCAGGGTCATGGGTCGATCATCAGAGCCTCCAGATTCCTCAGAAGCTAAACACCCACTGGTGATCAGGCCAAGGAGATCAAACAGTTAATAAGAGGCAGTCCCTATGTCTGTGCCCAAACATCCACAGGGAGCAAAGTGCCCTGGGGCCCCTGAGATGTGTTAGTGCAAAACCAGACAGGATACACAGAGGCTTTGGCCATCTCATTCTCAAGGCACTGATGCCTGCTCCAAAACCAGCCACAGCAGCTCAGGCCAGAAGGTTGCTGATATAAGAAGACATGAGGTGGTTTGAGAGTGTGAGATCCAGGTGAGGGCCCTCATACTGGGGACAGGCCAGATCTGGCCCCAATCCTGTCTCAGGGATGGCAGAGATTGGCATGAGGAAAAGCAGGGTGACATGTTTGTCCTATGAGAACCCTCCCTGGTCCTGGTGGGTCAGTGGGGGAGGGCTGGGCTCCGGGACAAATAATCAGGCCGTCCTGAAAAGAACCCAAGCCTTGCCTTTGGACCCCATCTGCATTTACTCTGGCCTTCACAGCACGCTGTGATGATGATTTCCCCAACCTAACACCCAGGGCCAGAAGCACCATATCTCACGGGATCAAAGCCCTGATCCCTCCCACCTTTCCCAGCATGTGCCCAGAAACACCCATCAGCTGAATGACCAGGCATGGTATGGAGCCATGTTTTATTCAAGATAGCTCTTCCCTTTGCAGGCTGGGCATTTACACCGCAGGACTGTGGCTGCAGCTGTGGTAGTGGTGAGGCAGGGCAGCTGCATGGGCAGACACCTCCACATCCACCTCAGGAAACAGCACTCAGCCACACTTGCCCAGGCACTCCAGGAGCTCCATGCGGATGGCGATGCGCACGTGCCAGCCCAGCGGGATGAGGCGGATGTAGCGGGCCACGATGGGCGGCCGCAGCAGGTTCTGCACTGAAGAGGAGCGGTCTGAGTTGCCATAGAAAACCTGTGAAGGGAGGTGTGGGTAGGTGGTTAGGGGGCTGGAAGTTCTGTCCCATGAGTCTGGGGTGCCTGTGCAGAACAGATGAGGAGGAGGTTTCCTCCCCTCCACCCTCAAAACAAAAGACATCAAAAATAGCCAGACCATTTTTGTCATGCTGATTCGGTTTTCTGAGTAAGTCACTTTCTCCCATTGTTTCTGCACTTTTGGTGGTTAGGCCAGACTTAATCTCACCCCATCCTCTCTCACTTGCCTTCCTGCAGCAAGGCACCACATGTTTGGAGTGAGCATGGTAAAATTTGGCTCTTTGCAGTTCATGAGCTGGGTTGTCTCATATGCTAATACAGACAAAAAATGTATCTGAGTGTCCTTTCCTCACTGCTTGGCCAGCATGTCACATCACCTGCTGCCATGACCTGTTTTTTGGGGAAAGCTCAGCACAGCATCTCCCCAAGGCTGCAGGAACTGATACCTCAGCAAAGCCACCAGAGCCTCCCATGCTAGGACAGGGCCATCCCCACAGATGGACACTGAGGATGCCTAGGAGGCAGCAGCTGTGGCATCCCCCAGCTCAGCTGGGCTGCACAGGCATCATTGTAGGGTTTCCTCAGTGCAATTTTTCGCTTCAAACCAGCCAGTAAGAAGTGCAGTGTGAGAACAGTTCAGTGGGCTGTGACGTAATTAGTTACAGATCTTGTCTCAGGGGTTTTTCTGCATTGTCATTGTGCACCAGCTCTAGACTGATGGCAAAAGGGGCCCCCATTTCTCAGTGCCCAAGCAGGGTTGGGGTTGTATAGCCACAGCTGAGAAAGTGGGTTTATGGAGGTGCTCCCTTCTCTGCAATGCCAACTAATACCCTTGAGCTTAATCTGGACTCCACTATCATCATTAGAAATCACAAAAAATTTATTTTGCCCTGGTCACCATGGCACTCACTTTCACCACAGAGGAAATGGCCCCTCTTTGTGCTGCCCCCAGATGTGGAGTGAGCACTGAGACCCATCCACCCTGCTGCTGCCACAGGACCCCCATTTTGGGGCACCTCCCACTGAGAAAAGATGCCTTCATGTCACCAAACATGCCACCTCTCCACCAATGGCCAAAGAGCAAATTGCACTGACCCGATTGTTCCCAGTCTGGTCCTTGTAGTAAACCCAGTTGAGGTTTTCGTCGGTGCGGTACTGAATGCTGTACTTGGTCATCCACTCATCGGCATCACAGCGACCTTGTGTGAGGATCCCTGAAATCACCTTCACCTCCTTCAGGTCGATCTGCAGCCACTGTGCAGTGTCCTGGTACTTGGAGAGCCACGCACACCTGGGGGACAACACCAGCCCTGCTATGTCCTCTACCGCTGCCCTTCCAGGCAGACCCTCCTGCCCCCACACTGCCAGGGTTCCCCCAGCACCCCACACCCTCTGCCCCTGGAGCCCCTCAGAGAGGCATTTTGGAACTCACCCAAAGCCTTGGCCATTGAGGCGGGCCTTGTTGGCTGTCCAGGAGGAGTACCAACCCGTGTACTGCTCAGGGTTGGAGCAACTTATCTGGTCTGGGGTGACAGAACCAGACTCAAAACCCAGGGGCTTGTGGTAGGGACACTCTGCAGAAAAGGGGAAAAAAACACCTTAAGTGACATGACTGGCTGTTTCCTGGGTGTGTTTGCACACACATTGTCAACACCTCCCATGGTTTCACTACTCCTTCTCCTCCCTGACTAGGATGCTCTTAATCCCAGACCACAACCTGCACAGGGGCCATAGTATCTTCATTTCTAACTCTTGTTTTAATTTCTAACTCTTCTTTCTCTCTCAAACTTACTAAACCTGTTCTACCTGAAACATTTTGGGGGGAAAGGTTTTATTCAGATGTTGTAGTATCAATCTCCTTCTTGAAAGGCATGTGGAAGAAAAAACAGACTGGATCCATCAACCTGGATCCAGCCTCCAGGCTGTCAGCCTCTGCCTGGTCCTTGAGAAATGTCAGGCACTGCTTTACTTGCTGGGCTTTACCTCCTTCTGCCCCTGCATTCACTGTCTTGATTTACTTGAATGGCAAAATTTCTGAGCAAACTCTGATCATCAAGCTTGCTTCACAAGCACCCTTGGGTCTTCTGCATTCTCTGCTATGGGGACCATCTTTGTGTCTGGAGATGGTCTTGCCTTGTGGAAAACCTGCAGATGCTCTGGTGCCAGTGAGGTGTAATGCTTGACTCTACTGAAGGCTCAGGGATCTCCATCTGAGTTTTTGACTTCAGGTCTCCAGGCTACCAATCATGCCCCCACAGCTGTCTTTGGCAACAGTGACAAATTCAACATGACTCCTGCTGGCTGCAAAAATACTGGAGAAAGAAATACTCATTCATCATTAAAACTTTCTGTGTGGGTCACCACACAGGGCTCTGAAATGCAGGACTTTGGTGATGCTGAGCACCTGCATGCTAACTGGACCTAGTTGTGGGGATTTTTGTTATGATCATTTTTTATGCAATCAGGTTATCACTGCGTATCAAGATACACAGAATGAAGGTGCTCACAAGGGTCACATGGGGATTGCCTAGGCAAACATCTATATCACAGGCAGTATTTTCTAATTTTGCAGCCTGTGGAGCCCCCAAAGGTTACTCTGTACCTTTCTCCAGTTTAGCATAGTTTGTTTCATGGGTCTCAGCAGTAAAGGAGCAAGCAAAGCTCTGCGCAGCTTCCCTTGTGGGTAGGACGTTTCCTTGCCTTAGCTGTGCCTGACCAACCAGCGTGGTGCCTCGTGTTAAAAATGACCCACACGTGGGGTGCCTCAGTGGGGGCCCAGAACCCGGTATGACTGTGGCCTCCCCAGTGCAACTCCCCAGCACTGCACCCATGTGGTCGATGTCTCATTAGCAAGCTCCACTAGGTCAATACTGTATGCATCAATATCTCATTAACATATCTTGCTCAGTCGGTACCTCATTAACATGTTTTTTCCCATGAAAACATATAGCCACCCTCCCGCCTTCCTCGAGGCATGGAAACATCATGATTTTTCACCACGTTAAAAGCCTTGCTCCCCTTGTGCAAGAGGTGGCTGGGCTGAGGTGGCCCCTTGTGTTTACTATTCGTTAGGCTTATCTCAAACACCACCCAACTTCACTTTTAGCAACACTAATCCGCAGACCACACAACCATAATGCAATTAGCAGGTCACCTTCTGGTGAGTCCGTTTGTACCACGCACAGGGACCCACCAAAACAGATGCCTGATGCCTGCCTGGCCAAATCAGCCAATCCAGAGGAGACTTGAGCGGTGTTTGGGAAGCAGCTGCTCCCCTCGGCCATGCCAGAGGCTGCTCTGCAAACCATCGTCAGGCAGCAGGGACACCAGGCCATACCATGTTGGCTGGGCTGGACCGGGCAAGGGGAGTGCAAAGCCCCTGCCTAGGGAGAGCAGAGTTACAGTGGCAATATTCATCATTCAAGAGAACAGCCTTTATCAGTCAAGGAAGCCTTCATTACTCAGCTGCATAATGCTAATGTGTGAGAGCACCCATCACACCTGGCCTTGCCGGGAAACCTCGCCCTGCTCCTCACATATCTGCCATGGACAGATCAAACAAACTTGCCACGTCTCCTTCCCTTACCTTGCCTCTCAAAAGGCAAGGGTTTTAAACAGGAAGAGTATGGGTTTAGATTGGACATAAAGCAGAACTTTTTTACTGTGCAGATGATGATCCACTGGGACAGGTTGTCCAGAGAAGCTGTGGATGCCCCATCCCTGGAAGTGTTCAAGTCCAGGTTGGATGGGGCTTTGAGCAACCTAGTCTAGTGGAAGATGTCGCTATCAATAAAGGGGATGGGAGAGGGGAGGTATTGGAAGTAGATGATCTTCAATGGTCCCTTCCAGTCCAAACCATGTTGTGATTCTGTGATTGCTTGGTGCAAATGACAGCAGGGTGGTACCAGGTTGTAGCAAGACTTCAAATGGAGAATTGTACACTGCTAAGGTTAAACAGTAAGAAAATATGCAGTAGGACCAGGCTGGCATGCCAGGCATAGGTGCCAGTAGGGAGCACTGGCCAGCATGGGCCACCCTCAGTGACCTCCCAAGGCCCAGGAATAGTGGCTGCCTCTGCCTGACGGTGCAGGGTCATCCCATCACCTCATACCAGTGCAGCTCCCCCAGACTCACAGCAGCTGGATTTGGAACAACTACTGCCAAAACATGCCTCCTCTGCAATGGTGAGTGCAGGAGGGGAAACTGCTGGAGATCACCAGGCAAATATGGCTAAAAGCACACTGCTCCATTACCTGGCATGCACTCCAAGCTGTTAGTCCCACTGGACCACACTGAGTTAGGTCCTCCTTGGCAATCGCATTTGCAAGCCTTGCTGTGCCACAGCTCCAGTCTCTCATCCTAAAGGGAAGGTAAAAAACCAGCAATAAATCAACATAGTCATCAACAACAGCAACATGAGGCTAAATCTGAGTTCTGAACCTGAGACAGATGCTCATGCCTGCCCAGCCTGCTGCACCTTCTCTGAGACCCTTTCTTCATGACAGCCTAGCATGAAACATGGAATGACTTGGATCCCTTGGACTCAGAAGTCAGAGCATGTGCCTGGGCCAGGTGCCACCCCTACTGCTGGCCCAAGGCACCAGAGCTAAGCCGTGTCAGAGCCCCAGCATTTACCTGGCAGCCAAACAAGCCAGAGAGACTTACCTCTCCTGGGGAGAGGGCCATTGCAGCTGGGCAGTGGGCGTGGAGAGAAGAAGAGAGAGACAGATTAGAAACAAAGATGCTGCAAGCAAACTTTACAAAATACAATTTCCTCCTGAACTAGGGACAAATAAATAAAGGAAGGACTGATGAATCTTCCATGTTTTCCCCAAGCTGATTGCCAGGGGAAGGTAAGAGAATATGGGCAGGAGCAGGGCACTGCCTGTGTCCATGTCTGTGCTACTCCTCCACTGGGTTTTCTTTCTGATGTCTTTGGCATCTCCTCTTTCTGATCAGACACACCTGAATCACCCTGAGGAGAAACTCATGCCAGCCCACTTGGTCTCTGCTTTATAGCTGATTTTGCCCACATCCATTTTTTATGCCTTCCTGCTCTAGTTTCCCTGTCACATTTTCTCCTTAAAATGTGTAAGCTGATGAACTCCAAGGGTGAAATCCCATCCTGGCACTACTGCAAGTGATAAGTGCCTTTGGAGGAGATGGGACACTCTACAAGGTGCTTGGTCTGCGACCACTCACTCTGGACGGGATGGAGAAAAATGCAATGTAAACAGGTCTTCCTAATCCATTTTACAGACAGGACACCCTTTTTTTTCTTTCTTAGGGAAAACCAGTCGTTGTGGCTGTGGAGGAAGACACACTATTTTTGTAACATTTGACCTGTTTTATCTCTTGCCTCTTACTGAGCAATGGCTTTTTTATAAGCACTTTCCTTACTGAAAAGGCTCTCCTTACTTCACAGTGAAGTCCAAAGCAGACTGTGTTAACAGCATTTGGACTGGTAGGATAGTTCCCAGACATCTATGAAAATAATTTAAAAAAAAAATAGTCCCATGACGGCTGATAACTCATCAACACAAGTCAAATGTCGAACATCACTTTTTCGAAGCCAGTAGGGCATCTACAAGCCACCAAGGAACAAGCTGTTGAGCAGGTAAAAACTTGCATACAGAAGCCATGAGAAACCTGCCACAGAGGTTTTGTGAATACGGAAAGAGGTCTTTTTACCAAATGAATTAGACTCTGAATTATTCACTGAATTCTAGTTATGATTTATTCATTCATACACTGTCACTTTGCTGAGTCTAGGAAGCTCCAGCTAATGCTGGGAATTTACATCTCACATTTCTATAGCAAGTTTCCTCTCAAAATACTCACAAACACAGAGCAATTATAATCAGCTGAAATATAAACTATATACAAAGCTCTGTTTATTACTGAAATGCAACTGCTCCTTAGGTGTGACACTGAGCCTAAATGTATCAAGAATCTGAAAGAAAGACAGCCAAGAACAAAATGATAAACAAGTTTTAAAAAATTCCTTTCTCTAACAACAGAGATGGTTTCCTGTGCTTCAGCGTCCCAGGGCAGCATTTCTGGCATCAAGAACTTACAACATTAACCCAAGGCACTGGCCCTGGCAGAAGAAGTAAACATTGGTCTGCAATAAAAAGATATGGCTTATAGTCAGACCCAAGAGGGAGGCAGGGGGCACCCAGACCCCAACAAGCTCAGCAGGAAAATGAGGCTGCACATCTCCGGATCTGGCCTCTCGTAAAGCATAGGCTGAGGGCCACTCACAACACTGCACTACACCTGTCCCAGCACAGATGTTACCCAGTCAAACCCTGTCACTTCACTGTGCAATGAGAAAACCAAGGCAGAGGTGTAAGCCCAAGGCTACCTCTGTGCTGTGCCACACAGGGCAAAGGAATTTGACTTAAACCAGCATAAAGGTGGTTTAAGTTAATGCTGTTTGCCAATACAATACAAACCTGTGACTTTATCACTTATCAAAACTGTACCATCTTTGCCAATAAAAGAAATGTAGAGCCTCTCCTGCCTGCTTGGTGCTCTGTTTGATGCCAATTCTGCAGTGGCACTGGCACCAGGGCCATGACAACCAGGAGAGCAGGTGTGTCTCCTGCCCCTCCAGACAGTGCTCCTGCTCCAGGAGCACCAGATGCAAGGGCAGCTTCCTTACCCTGAAATCTGGAAGCCTGACTCCCCAGCCAGCACAGCCCTCATGTGTCCCCACTGCCCAGCAACTGTCTGAGCTCACAGGGCTCCAGGCTTGACTTCTTCCATCTGCAGGCACTTAAGTTTCATTTAGAGATGTGTGCTTGCTATGTGTTTCTTCTTTAGAAGACTGATTTTTGTGCAAAAACTTCTGTGTGTTGGTTTGGGTTTTCCTTATGGTGGTTTAATGTACTTTGGTCTGGCAAAGGGGTTGGAAAAGACCTCTAAAATCATCAAGTCCAGCCACTAACCTAAGAAAATTATGTTCCATGAAGATGACTGTACTGTGGTGAAGCCTACTCTTGTGCACTATGTGGAGAAAGGGGATGTCGATTACTAGGACTGATGTAGGGTACTGCTGTGGGACCATGCTGAGCCCTTCCACAGGTCTCCTGAGTACCTCCCTTTGAGTGCCAACATCAAAATTTGATATGTCATTGACACATGGAACTGGAAATTCAACATCTATGAGTGAAACAACAGGGAAAAAAGGAACAGTTTTCAGGTGGGTGGGTGTACGATAGCACCAATTTAACCACCAGAAATGAATCCTCCTCACAGGTCACCCCAGCATCACTTGGGTGGCTGCACTCAGCCACTGATGGCTGCACTCAGCCAGAGATGCCTGCTCCTGAGCTACAAGAGCGGCTTCTAGGGTTTTTAGCCTCATCTGCCAGGGGACAGCACTGCCAATCAAGCAAGGGTGTAAATTTCAAGCACAAAAGGCCTTCTTTCAAGGCAATGTTCTATTGGGTCAGTCCCACAACACACAGGGTGCAAAGCCAGTGCCAGGGCACAGGTGCCGGCGTGCTGCCCCTCTGGTTGTCCCCATTGGGCTGGGGAGCACCACCCCTCACTGCATAACTCACTGATTTAATTATCTCAAACAGGAGTTCAGCTTTGTCTTTTTGAGTCAGAAGAGGTTAATTGCTAAGGGCTTGCTCCCACAAGTGGCGCAGCCATCCAACCATGGCACAGGGGAGTGGCGAGCTTGGTTTGGCTTGGGGTAAGTGCAGCAGCAGATGGCCAAACATCCTGCCTGGGCAGCGTGGCCTGATAACCCCTGGTGCTGGGAGAGAAAGGAAAAGAAAAATGCCCTTGCCTGCAGTTGGCCAGAAAACACAATAATTGATATATTGGTGTGTTTACAGCTGTGATGGGCACTGTCCTACAAAGGAAATGAAGAGGAAAGCTGGCTGCCAATAGCCTAAAAAAAAAGTGATGGCCAGCATGCTTTTATAGTGAGTGTGTTTGCCTTCAAGGAAGGTTACAAAGATAATTGGTAATTGTAGGTCAGACAGAACGAATTGCTGCAATTCATGGGAGAGTCATAAGTCCTGCACAGCCGCCAGGGGCTGTTGTTTTAAAAGCACAAGACTGAAAAAAACCTCCAAACATTAAAAAGCAAAAAGTACTATTTACAGCCCACCCCCCAGGACATTCAGCAAACCATCAGTTCAGTGAAATAAACTGTTATCTGTGTTTGTGGGAGGCAGGGAGGAAAGGCATGCACCTTTCCTGTCCCTTCATCCTACCCTGCAGTGCTGTTTGTCCAGCTCACTATCATGCACAAATGCCACCCGACAGGTCAGGATTTAGGGACCAGGGCTTAGGCAAGGACCAGAGGATGATTTTGTGCCAGAGCACCTTAGTGAGGCTGGGCTGTAGCCCAGGCCCTGGGATGGCCCCACTCAGGACCTGCTGCTGAGCAGGATGGAGGGGAGAGATATTCTAGGGGGTGGTCCAGGTTTGCGGGAGAAAGAAAAGAGATAGCAGAGGTAGTCCTGGGATGCCAAGATGGGGAGGACACAGGTTTCCTGAGGTGGAAGTGGGATAAACCAGCAGCCACAACTTAAGGCTAGCTGGGAAAACAAAGGGGCAATAAATAGCAAGGAAACTCAGCTGCTGGCATTTTAAGGACAGGAAAAGGTAACTGTGTGTCTCAGAAAATTTGTAATCATTAATAATGTGGCTAAACAAGAGTAAGAAAGGAGGAAGATAAGTGTGGACAGAAGTAACACTGCCAAAGGCTAAGCACATTTTGATATGGTAACTCTGAGAAATCATATTCACTATCCTGACCATAATGACACAATACCAAGTCCTCTTTTAGTGTGTCTAGAATTAATGACAAATGTACAAGCATGAGAAAGTACATAAAAAATATAAAAACAGAGAAATAAACTATAACAAAGAATAAATGTCAGTCACTCAACTTACTGGAATAAGTTCACATAAACTTGATCATTGTAGGAAAAGTATGTGGAAAAGCTTAATTATTTATTTACTTTATAATTTAGGTGTCCTAGAAGCTTCAGCTGGAAAATAGTTAATGTTGTCTCTCATCTCTGCAAGCAACATCTCAGTTTAAAGTCTCAGAGAGATGAGTAAAATGACTTACTCTCCTCCCAGTGGAGAGCAGTCCCCTCCATGGTGCAGCAGTGCTTTCTGGGCACTGTGGTTCCTGCTGCATAGTCACCTGCTTCCCTTCTGCAGCTGTGGGTCATGGGGCAGGGCAAGGGAAAACAGCTCAAAACTTAGAAAAATATGACTGGAGCCCCAACAAAGATGTCACAGAAACAAAAAATATAGCTGGACTGAATGGTACTGTTTTTATCCATGCTTTCTGAAAAGCACACCATTGCAAAGCCCTCTTTTCCCTGAGCACCACATTAGACATCATCAGGAAGCAGAGTTAGGTAACACAGCCTGTAAAGCAACACAGAGGGCTGAGACACTGAAAAAAGCATTCGGTGGTCTGTGCTCATTGGGTGCTAGTTTGTGGGTTGCTATATTATTAACCTAGGCTATTTTTACATACCAGCCCTGAAAATCGTGCCAGGCGAGTGAGGTGACTCACACCAGGTTGCAGAGCCTTGGTAACAAGGTGCATTTAGGGAAGCTGCCATATCTGTGGTGTTTTCCCAAATGCGCCACAGGCAAGGGCCCCAGGGACCCCTGCTGCAGCTGTGGCCGTCCCCAGGTCCCCTTGGCAAGAGTAGCCCCCCTGTCCAGTTGCTTGGTGATTGCTTTTGTTGATTCCCCCCAGGGCTTTTTCCATGGTTATGCTAAGCAGCCTCAGTGGGACCTCGTGTTGAGCAAACAGTATCTCTATTTCTAAAAAGCATGGGGTTTAAACGGTCCTTGGGAGCTATGCTAGCAAGCAGAGACCCCTAGGGCATATGCAGATCTGTGTCCACCAAAAGACACTGGGAGTCAGGCTGGGTGCCCGTCCAGGGATGCCGACCACCTAAAGCCACAGTGGCCAAAATGCTCAGCCTGTTTCCCCCGTAGATGATATTCTGGCCTCAGCACCACCCAAGAGGGCACCAACGCCCCGGCACGCATCAGCCTGCGAGGACTGACCTCTGCTGATCACTGGCAAGCACGGTCAGAGCCAGAAAATGAGGGCAAGAGGAGCAGCATCAGTGTCAGCCTGCAAAGGGGAGACGGTCTCATACTTTGTGTTAAGCTTTTCTCTCAGGCTTTAACTCAGCTGTTCTTTTCCTCCTTCATTTTGTGAGGATTTTTCATGGTTTTATTATTTTAATTTCCATTCCATTTTCTTTACTTGAGTTATTTTTATTTGGTTTCCATTTTTATTCATTTGTATTGTGTGTCATTTAATATTTCTATCTCGTATTGGCCTCATAAGCCACCAGCATGCCTGTTACAAATGTGGATAGAGCCTTCCTAAATCTTCATTCATGAAGCCTAGCCATGACATGACATGACATTTAATATTTACTAGTTATTTGAACATGATAAAAACTATATTTAAATAATGACAATTATTCGTATTTAATTAATATTAATTTCTCTTTAATGTCTGCTGGTCTTTTATGTTGTGAAAATATCTGGAAAAAGATTAAATAAGTTGAAAAAAAAAATCAACCTCTCCCCCTTTCCTTCTTAAGAGATGTACAATTATCTTTTTTTCCCAAAGTGTTCCTTTGAAAACTTTTGCCAATTTCTGATCTTACTGTCATGTTTGCTCCTTCCTGCTTAGAGCTACGCAGAACATTGCCTGCATAGTAATTTCACTACATGCATTGATTATGCCAAAGGGCAGCACTAAAGATGTTATTTACCATCATCCAAAGGCGGGTTTGAGCCTTTAATTTTGGTTTTGGGTTGGTTTGTTGTTTTTTTTTTTTCAAAGCTACAAAAAAAAACGGGAAAAAAGAAATCCACTCAAACTGCTGAGATGTGCTTATTCCTCAACGTGTAGGGAGCACGGACAGAGTAATGCGGTGCAGGCATGTCACATTCAATGTGCTAAAAGCACATTCATGTCAATCCGGGGCTCGGGGTGCTCTCCCTCGCCATATGGAGGGGGCTCAGCAGCTGCTGCGGCTCTCGTGGCAAGAGCCCGCCTGCTGCACCATATGCTGCTGCTGCTGCTGCGGTGTCCCCGGCAAACACAAGCCCAGCCGAGGCGCAGGAGCTGGGGGTGCTCCTCTAAGCCACTTGCTCTGCCAGAGAAAATAAGCTAAGCAGCTTATCGTGACATCAGTGCACGTAGCTCGGAGGACTGACCTAGCAGCACCTTCGTGGTGAGAGGGAAAGGCAGGACTGTGAGGGGGACCTAGGCAAAGGGTCACTGCTCTCTTTTTATCCAAAGGAGGACACAGGCCATGAAGCAAAGAAAAACAGTAAATTAAGTAACATAGTAAATTAAGAAAATAAATATCAAAGGAGTGATGCCTTGAAAGTTATCCTGCAAGTTATTTTTCACTGCAGGCTCTCCAAAAATATCCTGATGTGTAGGTGTCTATTAAAAGCAAGCTGTGTCTGGGATTCAGAGTAAGGTATGAACTCATTCCAAGGACTAATTGTAGTTATGCCACCCAAAGGGAAAAAAATGCTGGAGTCTGGATAAAAACAGTCTTCCAAGAGGCTTAGGCATCAGTAACTTTCCCAAGTAAAACAAAGGAGAGAAGAGAGATAAAGTATGAGGAGAACATACAAATATTTGCTGTAAGATTAAAAGGAAGACCTATTAATTAGACAGAGTGGGGTACAGCCAAACATAACAGCATGAAATGAAGGCATGGCTAGTTGAGTAACATTTACTTTCCTATCCATGAAAATTTGTAGATCAAAGTATTAGGTGGAAACACAGAAAGATAGAAAAGAACTAGACAAATCAAAACAATGAGAATTCAACATACATGGGGGAAAAGCTGGACTGTCTGATTAATCTTCTCCTCACTCTGACAGATCACACTTGATTCACGTTAATGTTGGTAGATACTGCTGAGCACTTACCAAGTGCAACCCTCAGCCTTGTTTAAGATAATAGCAGCTTTGCCATTGGCTTGGATGAAGCCAGAAATTTAAACACAACCCAGAAAATTATGTCCCTGTTCTATACTGCTGGGTTAATTAAAATGGAAGGAGATTGTGACCCTGAATTTTCTGGCTTCTTCTAGCTCCTGCTTACCTGCTTTCGTTGCTGCCTTTCTGCAAAGTAAATTTGAGAAAGCCTCAAAATTGATAAATACCTTTCCCATTTTCTTGACTTATGATTGCATTTTGTTCTGAAAGTGCCTTTGGAAGTCTCTCCCAGGCCAAAATACCTGAAATGGCCTTTAAAAAGAAAGCCAATCTTCATCAGCAATCTCTCGCTGCTAGAGAAAATGATCAGCTTTTGATTAATCAAGAGTTTTGATTAACGAAGGACCAGTCTTTCATGTTTTGCTGTACCTCATTTTTCAAATCAGCGTTATTATTTACACACTGGCTCAGCTGCACTACAATTTTCTTTGCAAATTCATATTTTGACAAATTATATGGCAATTTTTTTATACTGCAATTATTTTGTGAAACAGAGTTTTGCTATTGAATATTCATAGAGCTGTAAGAACACTGCTCACTCATGTACATAAATTACACATCTCCTTCACATTTTGCCTTTCCCTGAATTATTATGCTTCCATGAGAATGTAAAGAGAGCTTGCTCTGTACCCTGTAGCCCCTGGAAGACGAAAGCATGGATGAAACAAGAAACACAAAGAGACATATCTGAAAGTGCCTCTCAGGAGGCAAAGTGCGTACCTTTGTACCAGAAAAGAAGAGACAGCAGGACTCTTCCCATCTTGAACTGCATCTTTTCCTTCCTCTGTTGTGAATAGCTCCTTAGTGTACTGCTTGGCTTGATGGGAAGGCATGAGATTAACTTAAGCATTGCCTAAGCACCTTACTCTCCTTCATTCTCATGATTTTCTCAAGCACCATCAAGCCAAACACATAATTATTACCATCAAGCTCCATCCTAGAGGATGTGACATCTGCAACAGTTTTTGAAAGGTAACAAGTATTGAGGTACTGACACTCTAAGCATGAATCTGAATGAGTATGTAGACATATGTCCAAATAAACAAGGATATACCTATGTAGAAACCACATATACCCCCTACAGAAAAGCAGATGACTAAAGCTTATAAAAGGTACGTAGTATATATTGTCTATTGTATATAATAGGTATTCACTGGCTTCCACCCCAATTCTTTACCTCTACACTATCAATGCCTTTCCTAATAATAGTTGCATGTTGAAATCTGCTCTGGCCTTATTGCTCTTCCAGTCACCTAATTGTGTGGGGCTGAAAATGGCAATCAGTAGATCAAACAAAAATAGCACTTTTCAGTTGTTTACTTGCTAGGCTGTAAGAAACTCAAACCAAAAATGTACACCTGCCTTTGCTAACAGTTCTACCTATAGTATCCTCTCGACAGGCTTAAGTTCAAGAGAGTAATAAATTTGATTTTAAAATGATTGAAAGGTTCAAGATAATAGACTGTTAGTGATTCCAGTGGATCTTGCACCCGTTCCTCCAATCTCTGCTAATTATGTGCAATTAGAAGTGAATTTTCAATGGAGGCTTTTGAAAGCAATTGCTTCAGAAGCAGCTTGGTTTGTTTCAAAAGATCACAGACTGCATGCACTGGGAATAGATTAATGCGCTGCATAGATCATGTAGGCTGCTGTGGAGTTAAGCTAATCGTGTCTCTAGTCTTCTGGTCTACATCCATTCAAAAAATGCTGTGCAAACAAGGATGCTGACTTTTCAAAAATAGTCCCCTGGGCAGGATTTATCTCACCTGTCTTTGGATAGTCACAAATTTGGCATGCCCTGTAAAGGGGTTGTGAGGTACAACATCCCACTGCAGTTACACTTCTACACCAATACATCCCAGCCTCCCCAGAGCATGTGACATGGATGGAATGAGTCTCCTGCCAAGGGGCCTCGCTGCTTTGCTCAGTTCAAGGAGTTTAACCTTCTCAACCCAACACTTTCCCCACTTCAACCGATCTACACAGAACCATAGAATCAGCTGGGTTGGAAGGGACCTCCGAAATCATCAAGTCCAATCCTTGATCCACTACCGCTGTGGTTGCTAGACCATGGCACTAAGTGCCACATGCAGTCTTATCTTAAAAACCTCCAGGGACGGAGAATCCACCACCTCCCTGGGCAGTCCATTCTAATGCCTGATTACACTCTCTGTAAAGAATTTCTTCCTAATATCCACCCTAAACCTCCCCTGGCACAGCTTAAGACCGTGCCCTCTTGTCTTATGTTCATACGCAACACCCTTCTCAGGGCAGTGAGACCCACCAGAAGGTCCAGACAGGAGGTAAAAAACATGAGCCTCATTGAGGGTACCAGGGCAGCCTCTGGGCATCTGCTGCAGTGCAGCATCTTACTCCAGGCTCTACACAGTATCCAGACAAGAGTGTCTCTCCTTCTTTTTGTTGTCCAGTCTGAAATGGTCTGCCACAGAGACACAGATTTCCAGAGCTGCTGAAGACACTCAGATATCTACTCTCTCTCTGCCATGATGAGCAGCTGGTATCTAAATCCCATGGGTCTGAAAATCCCAGCTTAAAAATCCCTAAATACCTTCATCCACATATCTCTTGGAAAACCAGACCAGGGCTTCAGCCTCTCACCTTATGGTCTTGTAAGCACATGTCACAGGGAACCAGAGCTGCCCACACAGAGAGAAATCACCTACCATGTTTTAAAAAAGAAAAGCCAAATTCTCTTCCATGACCCCGAGCAGTTTAAAATCAGTTTGGTTTATGGTCAACCTCACGCTCCAAATAGGTTTTGATTTTTTGTAAGAAGTGCACAATAGCTCGGGGAACGTGTTCAGAAATAGCACAGCTCTTATCAAAGGACATTTCATCCAAACAGACACTCTTAAGACTGGTGGCTGCCCAATTATAAAATTCCCTCCACAAAGAAAGAAAGGCAGACTTTGTTTAAAAAGTGTCTGTAGCATTCAAAAAATCAAACTGGCTCACATGAAGATTAGAAGAGCCTTAAAATTAAAGTCCTTGTATAAATAGTATGCAATTCAGGCCCTTTGTGTCTAATGGTGTTGATGGTCTTTCATTTTAATAACTGTAAAGAGCAAAACCACACTGCCACTGCAGACAACATTGCTAAATGAATAATGTAGTTAATTCCTAGAAAACAGGGAAATATTTTCAGGTACAGAAGACAGAAAACATTTAAAAGCCAGTACACAATACAGCACCAGAAAATGCTTCAGTTGCCCTTATTAAAAAATAAAAATAAAATTTTAAAAAGGAAAAAAATTAGTCTGGCATTGATTACAGAACAAAACTGAGACTAGTACAAATGACCCAAATTATGACAGTTTGGTGACATCCCCAATGCTGTGTAAAACGGGCAGGAACTGACTGGGCGGGTTTGCTCTTTTGGCCATACATCTTCTCCAGCTCTAGCTCATGTCCCATTGGCCTTAAGACATTCTGATATGTTTTCATAGCCCTCAGAAATCTTGGTGTGTTTTCTTCCTCCAGATTGTGGGAAATAACACAAAGATCACCCTGCACCACTGAGATGCTTTTAGTCTGACTGGCACTGTGTGTGTGTGGCCTCAGAGGAGAAGGAGGAGGCAAAAGTACTGGTGCGTGAGAGAAGTGCAACTCCACATAGCAATTTCATATTTCTCCCAAAGTCAGAGTGCCAGACAGCTAAATCAGAGTGTCACGCATCGATTCGTGCGTCTGGAAGCTGAACACACATGGCACGCAATGTCTCAGCAGGAATGTGTGACTGGCACACTTTTGTTTTATCACAGTTAGGGAACGCACAAAATACACATTTATACATGTACGTGTGAACCATGGACATCTCTCAGAAGCAGGATACTGATGTGTGGAGAGAGCAAGACTGTCAGCACTTTTAGAGCTTGAGTCAAACCGTCAGGAGCTGGATCCTCTCAAAATGGACAGAGCTACTCTGATCTACACACACTTAAGATCTGACTCTTAGAATAAAATATTCTTTCTACAAGTCTGAAGTGTGAGCTTAAGTCCTTTTCTGAAAAGGGCCCCTTTTCCTAAATGTAAGAAAACGCGATGCAGATAGTTACCCTCTGCTGATCACCAGGATTAGGCCCACTCTCTGTAACACCCACTTGGGGGTGCTGTGGCTGTCAATGGCAGGGTAGGCACCATGGGATCACCATCCCTATTAGATGGGAAGTACCTACACCAGAGGCTTGCATATCCTACATTAGGAGAAGTCTAACTAAGCCTGACTCACCTTTGAGCTTGTATCATGGAAGCAGGCAGTCAGTGGAAAACAGTTCACCCAAGCGGTGGGACACATTGCTTTGGCTTCACCTCCTGTGAGCTGCATACACACTGCTAAGCAAAACGAGCAGAGGAAAGCCAGACTTCAGTACATCTGCACTTTCAGATTGTGGCATACACAGGCCCTTAAGTATTGTTATGGTGTTTAATGTTATGATCTTAGTATGCTAGGTCTCACTATGTGAAGTATGAGTGGTTTCTACCCAAAGGAGCTTTTGTTTCCTGGCCCAGGTATCCCTGCATTGCTCTGCAATCTCTAACTGTACTTGCCCATGCCTCAGAGTGTTTCTTTAGTAAGAGCAAGCACTGACAAAGGTTAATAGTTTTCTTAATATATAATGATTAAAGAAAGTTTCTTAAGACTCTGATCAAGGTAATTTTTCTCTTTAATCTTTAAGATAGGTAAATCACATCCTCCCACTCTGATCCTGCAAAGATACTCAAGAGCTAACTCCAGGTCAGCAGAGCTCAGGGGCTCCCCTTGTCCTCCTGCTGCAGAGATGTCTGAGCCCCAGCACTCGTTAGGGCTTACACATACAGACAGACGCTGTGCCAGTATCCGTGGCCAGAGGTTACCCTTTTCTAAAGACTTGCACGTGCAAAATGAGACAACATGTTATAATTTAAAAGTTAAACCGCTCCGAGGCAAGCTGAGATGGCTCTTTGTTTCCTTATTAATAAAAACGGTACGCACAGTACTGGGGAAAATCAGGATGGAGTTAACTGTCCTTGCTAGCTGTGTGCTGTGAAAAGCGCCCGCCTTTCCCCAGCACTCAAGCTCTTCTCCAAGCACAGAGGTGAAAGGACCTGTGCTCCAGTCTGCCCCGGTGAGCATCTCCTTGTGGATGCATCGGGCTGCAGTCTCCATCACTGCCTTTGTCCCTGCTCGGGAGGAGGCACAGGCTGCTACTTCTCCCCGGCTCCGCTGTGGCTGCCTCTGGTCTCCTTGGTTACCCATCCAGGGGACGATGGTAAAGTGGTGATGCCTCTCCCGCGCTGGCAGGGAAGCGCTCCTCTCGCGAGGTTAAAGCGTGTGGAAAGGCTCCTGAGGGACAGGGTTTCCCACTTAGGGGGCGTTTCTGCTCCCCTCGAAACTCCTTGCTCCGCCTTCTGCCGCAAGCAGGACCCGGGTTTTCTTTAAGTGCTTATGAAGTTGCTCGTCTCCAGAAGGAAGCAGCTAAACCGATCCTCCTCGCTTCGAAGGAAATTATGAAAACTCACGGTAAGCCAAAAAAGAAAAAGAACAATTTGGCGCTGGTTCCACTGGGGCTCGAACCCAGGACCTTCTGCGTGTAAAGCAGACGTGATAACCACTACACTATGGAACCGCCACACGCGTTAACGGCCGCGGCACTGCCCCTATCGACCAAACGCCGGCCGTGCTTCCCTCCTTTGGTGAGCAGGGAAGGTTCTTGTTTTCTTCTTAATCACTAGTTGATTAAAAACAGTTCTAGTAATCAAAAATTACCCTAATGCGCTTCCTGCCCCTCACATAGCTACAGAGGGGCAGTGAAGGGCATAAATCACCTCAGTAGCTCCAGGTAAGGCTTTTGTGCCCCTGCGTGCTGGGTCAGCCGCGGGCTCCGCTCTGCCCCACCGAACACGGCCTGCAGGGGCAGGTAGCAAGCCCGGGGAACGAACGAGGGCTGCGTTACAGCCTTAGGCGGGTGCTGTGGGCGCTCCTTTCCCCTGCATGTATTCGATACATGCTGTACCGAATCCATTCTTTGCCTTCAGACCGTGTGCTCCTCACGTCATTGCCTCCGGCCCCGCTTCGGAAAGGGCTGGCAATCCTTCCTGCGCATCCTGCTGCTCCCAGGATTCGCCAGGCTGAGCCGTTCTCCCGGAGAAGTGGAGCACAAAGGTCGCTGGCCTAGCGTGTCACATCAGGTTGGCCCAAGCGCGGGAGAGGCGGGCCGAGCTCCGTGAGAGGTGCAGCAGAGCCCCCGCTGCTCCGGGGGAGCCCGGCTGCGTGGATTTCGTGTACACCAGTCGTGGGAAAGCGCCTCGCTGCTTTCTGCGAGGTGTTCCAGCTCTTTTCAGCGGGGGGAGGAAGGTGTGGGTGATTTTCTCGGTACAGGAGGCCTTTTAAAAAGAATAACGCACTGAGAGAAAAGGCAGAGCCTGGCATTTGTGTCAGTGACGCCCTGGAGGAAGTTGTTGCGCGGTGCCTTAATGGATCTAAAAGAGACACGTTCGATCCCTTCGGGCACAGCACGGGACACGCTCGTTCGTGTTTCTAAAAGGAGGCCTGAAAGCGGGAGGATTTGGCTTTCACAATCCGCCCTGGAGAGGACGGAGGGATTTCCCCCCGTATGGCCCCGCCGCCGGCAGGGGGCGCCCCGCGCCCGCGCTCACCCAGCGCCCTCAGGGCCAGGGCCGGGTCGGGCTGTGCTGGGAACAACTCCGGGACCGGATCCTTCCTGTTCGCTGCCCATCCGCATCAGGTATCCATTCACCCAGGAACCTTATGCCATCCGTTACACCCCACAATAATTGCCTTCTTTCATCTGTTACGTTTTACCTGGAGTTTTGCACTATTTGCATTACCGTAGTCCTCAGCACAGTGACCTCGCCTCACATCCCACGGGGAGTGAGTGGCTTGTAGGAGCACAAATTAAGTTACCTGCACAATGTTTACAGGACTGTGGTTAAAAGTTACAAACAGAATTTGGAATATAAAACATAAGTTTGTGAATTTTCAGAAACGTGGGGCCTGTAAGCAAAAGAGTATGGTGTTTGTGGCTAAATATCATGGTTGGCTTGACTATCAAAATTAATACCATTTTGCTGAAACAGCAGATTTCTTTACTATAACAAAATAGAAAATATTGTCCTTTTGTCATTAGAAGCAGTTTAATAAGGATAAGATGAAAATAGAGGTGAAGAAAATTATTTCCATAGACTTGCTGATGCCTTACCAAGTATGTGATGGTTTCACATAGTAGTTGGTAGCATCCAGTCTTTCAAAAAACAATTTATTTTTTTTAAATCCTTTTACATGCTGATCATTAGTGTGTGCGTCAAATCTGTGTACCCTCCTGACCTGGAGAGCCTGATTTAACCCAGAAGGTGCCTTTTGGGAAGAGACAATCTGGTTGGCTTGAGGCATCAGGAATGCATTATCTGTGCAGCTTATGGTTCACCAGACCAACAAAATGCAGATCAAGCTGTTGTTAGGCAATTCTTATGCCCATTTCTTTTTCCTTATGTTTCTTTACTAAGATCTGTCAAAACCTGAGTGCTGTAGATAGCTATCATTTCTATAAGCTCCAAGTGAAGGTTGAAGCTAACGTGACGGAGGTAGACTTGAGCAAATTAGATCATTAGTCACTGCTTCCCAAAATAATCAGCATTCATCTGATAATTTGGGAAAATTTCCTTTTTCGAAAAAAAATTTTTTAATTTTTTTACAGCAGGTATCCTGATGCTTTCATAGTGTTCTGGTCTGGTTTCTTGGCCTTCAGGAGCTTTGAGGCCCTACCACTGCCTTTCTTTCACATTTCTGATTTTGTGTGCTTTTTGCCAAGGATGCTAATTTTGATGCCTTTTTTTCACCTTCTCACCCAGAATTGTCAGTGGGGGGACATTTCTTTTTCTGTTCACACAAATTAACCTACTCCTTCTAATGTGTGAGCACAGATTTCTGTCATCTTACTGACTGAGTTTAAAATTGTTCTGGATATTTATTTCTTTCTTCATTTTTTCTATTCTTTTTTTTCCTTTTTGGTTGGGACTGGACATCAAAGTCTCTTAGTCAGGAACTTGTCCCCTGGCTAGTACTTTAAAACACTTTGTTGAGTCACATAAAAATACTTCTTTGACCTTGGTAGAGCAAGAGGAGGAGAAATCACAGTTAGAGCTTAGAAGGAGCACATTCACTTCAACTGTGATTATCTTCAGTCTTTTTGAAAAATATCAGTTACATCACTTTGCAGTGGGTGCTTCTGAGAAATAAGCCTAAAGCAGAATTTGAATTATGTATGTGGAATGCCTGCATGAAGGCTTGCTCAGGAGGTTAATGTTTCTGAAGTATTTGGAAAACAGAATGTATGCCATTACATCACAAGGGCTGCCTGTAAAAGGATGTCCCAGTTTCTACACTAGCAACATCACCAGGTTTTTCCTTGTCATTCTAGACTGATTAACCACATATTGTCAGAATTTGTTGGCCTACTCTCTGTTACAGCTGTTGATGCTAAAACTCTTTTCAGCCTATTAAATGTGCATGTGATACATGACTGCTGAGCAAAAAAGCAGCAGTATGTGTGACCTTGTTGGTGGGAATGGTACGTTCTCTTTGCCTTTGTAGAAAGGAAAATGGCATTGTTTGGTACGGCCTATCTCCTTGGACTTGAACAGGAAAGGTTAATTTGGAAAGCACATTTCTGTTTCCTCAATTTGCATGTTATTGTGATCCCCATAGGTAACTGGAGAGGTGGCTCAGTCCAGCAAGACTGACTCTTTATCAGGTTGCTTGGTCATATCAGATCATTGAGACAGAGGATGGAGGACTTCCATGAGTAACAAAAGAAAATATGCAGTGGAGATTTTATGTCCTGAAGAACCTAACTGCTAAGGGTTTGATCTCTCTCCCACTGATCTTGGATGAAATGTTTCTGATGGATTTTTTGGCCACTGGAGCAAACGTTGTAGCCTCTCCTTATGCAGAGATCTTGGTAAATGGCAATAGAGATGAATTTATCAGGTACAGTAAATGTTTATAAATAATGTGTATCCCAAGAGTGGAGTGGAAAGAGGTTGTGATGTATTTTTGCTTGCATGCATTTTGGCAGAACAGCCTGATCATACATAAATGATTAGCTACTGTAACTCTGATCAGGGAAAATGCATCCTGCCAGAAAAACAAATATCAAAACTCTTCTGGGCCGTGCAGAATTATTGCGCTTGGTGTGCTTTCCATTTACTGTCTCGTCTCAAAGGAGAAGAACAGCTTTGAAAGTGGAAGGTTGTATCTGGGAGTCCAGAACCTTAAAGGACTAGCTCAGTCAATCATATGTCTTCTGCTTTGCTGGTTTGGCATTTTAGATGTCTTTTGCATCTTAATAAAGGTCCGTCTCAAAAAAAATTGATCATTCTGTCCTTTACAGTGGTTGTTGATGCCAAAACAGAACTGTCACCAGACTGATGGTAAAAGTTTCCTGAAAATACCATATTATGGTATCATTAGACCTTTGGGGCAGGGGCAGGAGTGTGAAGAGCTTTCTTTGTTTACCGCTGTTCTCATAAGTCTTTTGCTCCCTATCCAGTTCTGATGGGACTCCATCACCTGGAGAGGTTTCAGAGCAAGAGGCACAGTGATTTCCGTCTTGTGCCCATTCACATGGAGCTTTCTCCCACCACAGCATGCTTTATAATTTTTGGTCCTCTTTGAATCTGCAGGCCCCCTCCCTGGCCCCACAGGAGTGGCTGCTGTGCTCTGTTCCATCACTGTACTGCAGAAAGCAGCCCCTCCCTGGCTTTTGGAGTGGGGTGGCAGGAAAGCCTGGGGGAAAGGTGGCCTGATGAGGGTGAGTGATGCTGAGGACTAGGCCCAAGACTGTACTGGTGATATTACAATATCATAATTCTACTGGCACCTCCTAGTTTTGAGTGGTTTCTTGGGCTATGTGTCCAAAATCGTAGTGTCCCCATGCTATGGATACACTGCCAGGTGGAGCAGACTGCTCAGGGGCTGTTGTGTTAGCAGTGGGCAGTAACAAATCACCCTGGACGTGATGGCTCTGCCCCTCCCTGGGCACCTCTGTAGTGACGGAGTCAGGGGTCAGCATGGAGATGAGCTGGGTCAGAGATTTGGGCCCGGCTGCCAGGGGTCAGGGTTTGATGTCAGAGCACGCAAAACCACGTCTTCCTGACCGCACAGGGAAGCGAGGCTGCAGCGTTCTTGGCTTGCCCGATCCCTTCCTGGTAATCACACAAGGAGCAGACGAGCCAAAACATGAACTGAGTCCACAGAGTTCCAATCATGCATTTATGGTGAGAACATGTGCATGCACATGAAGAAATGAAGTGTACAAGCATTAGTGCAGTGCTTCTGAACATAAGATTTGAGTGCTTCATACTTGTCCCATTATCTGGATTCTGCACCTGGGTTGGGACAACTCTGGATATATGTACAGCCTGGGGAATGAGATGCTGGAAAGCAGTGCTGCGGAAAGGAACCTGGGCGTTCTGACCAATGGCAAGTTGAATATGAGTCAGCAGTGCCCTGGCAGCCAGGAGGGCCAACTGTATCCAGGGGGACATTGCAAAGCATCGCCAGCTGGCCAAGGGAGAGGATTGTCCCACTCTGCTCTGCACTGGTGAGGCCTCACCTTGAATATTGTGTGCAGTTTTAGGCACCACAATATAAGAAAGATATGAAGCCATTAGAGGGTGTCCAAAGGAGGGCAGTGAAGATGGTGAAGGGCCTTGAGGGGAAGCTGTATAAGGAGCAGATGAGGGCACTTGGTCTGTTCTGCCTGGAGGAGACCGAGGGGAGACCTCATTGCAGTTACAACTTCTTTGTGAGGGGAAGAGAAGGGGCAGACACTGATCTCTTCTCTGGTGACCAGTGACAGGACCCGAGGGAATGGCCTGAAGTTGTGTCAGGGGAGGTTTAGATTGGATATTAGAGAAAGGTTCTTCACCCAGAGGGTAATTGGGCACTGGAACATGCTCCCCAGGGAATTGGTCACAGCACCAAGCCTGACAGAGTTCAAGAAGCATTTGGACAACACTCTCAGGCACATGGAGAGACCCTTGGGGATGGTCCTGGCCAGGGCCAGGATCTGGACTTGATGACCCTTGTGGGTCTCTTCCAACTCAGCATATTCTGTGATTCTGTATGACTGTTTGGAGAACACCTATATCACTAGCATGCAGATACAATGCCTTGTGGTAAATGCAGTATTTCTTTCCTTAAGGGCTTTCATAAGCATGCCAGTCACATCAGATGACCAAATACCTGGACAGCCTTATGTTTTTTTCTGGTGTGCTGGATCTGCTAAAATGCAAATCATTGCCTCAACACAGCAGAAAGGCCAAAAGAGATCATGTGACTTCAGATGTGAAGCAGGCAACTTCAGCCCATCCCTTTCTCTCTGCCTGAGATTCAGGAGGCATGGTTACAAAACAGCTCTGCTACAGCACACGTACAGCACAGCTGGAGGGCTGCAGCCATGAGCTTTCACACCAGCTTGGACGATGAAAACAGCATTTTCCCCTGGCTGTTTCTGAAGAGCAGCGTTCAAGAAATTTCCTCTCGGGAAGCTGTATAAGTAGGTGAAGAGCAAGTGCCTTGCAGCTCCTGAGCTCCAGAGCCCCAGAGAAAATTGGAGCACCTGTTCTGCAGAGCTGCACCCCTCAGGAGTTGCTTTCTCTTAAAAAAAAAAGAATCTTCTAAAGGTACTCTTGCAGAATAAATCTCAGTATTGCTGACGCAGGAAGAAT